AGTCCACCTAGTGTAACTCTATGTGCTAAGAATGGATTTATGCCCACATTAATATTAAATTGCTTCTTAATTTCCATCTGCTCAAAGAGGGGCCTACCCAGGAAAGCCTCAAATGTCCCCCACCCCAGCCCCAGCCCCAACCACCTAGAAGAAAACAGAAAGCTCCACCTGGTATCGACAGCTCTGTTCCATCTCCCGTGTAGTAAGGGGGGAGTCTGTGCATAACAAAATCTTTCTTCATGTCTGATGAAAGCAGTTCTTTGGTGCTTTCCAGCCGGTCTGCAAGAGTCCTCAAAAAGCCACTTAATCTTGTTGCAACTGTTGTGGTTTCCACCTGCTAAAAACACAGAAGTGAGCCTTGGTGGCGACCCAAGCAGAATTTACTGCCGAGGTCCCAGTCTCCACAGTAGTATGCTGAGCCTAACACCAACCACACACTACAGACAAAATTCTGTGTCATTTCAAGAGAGGACAGGAATAAATAGAGCTCTTAAGAACCTTATCCTATTACTTCTTCATAACCCATTCATGTTATGCTGCCTGTTGTTAATAAAAAAAAAGAACAATTTTCAGGATTTTACCTAGAAAGAATCCTTAGACATATAGTGCAGTCTGGCTCTGCCTTTGGAAAGCAAGTCACTATTCTAAGGTGCCTGCTTCACTTTTGCTCCACCCAGCCCTCATTTAATGATCTTCTCAAAACTAACCAAACAGTACTCATATTTCAAAATGCAAAAATATGCAGGAGCACCAGCGAATACACAAAGGCCTGGGTCTCCAGTGGGTTTCTTCTCTAAGTCATCATTGGAACAAACCTATTTCCTCCTCATTTCCCATCATGTGTATTTCTCCTGGCCAATTTATTCAACAAGCTCTCCACAGTGCCTGCTACTATCACTGTGAAATAAAGTAAGAGAGTTGTTTATGCGACACCCACGATCTCTGGATGGCATCCATTCATTCTGCAAATCATATAGCTCAGCAGGCAACACAGCAAAAGAACTTGGCTCAGCTGAGTAAAGAATCCTGGATCCCCAGAAGGCAGGGCTTCGGCTGGCCTGGGCTGATGCTGCCACTTTCATCTCCACATGCCTTTCTTTACTCTTACCATGAGCAGCTGCCGGGGTATTCCAGTCCGTAATGTTATATCTTCCTTTGCAGTATCAAACACAAGCCCTGAAATGGTGTCCAAAAGGAAATCTCCCCATGAACTAGAACATATACCATGAAAAAGAAAGAATAAAAACCAGTGAATACACACAAATATATGCAAAATGCCTATTACTAATAAAACCAAAAACTACAAACTACAAGTGGGGTTTCAACCTCCCAGCCCAAGCTTTCTGAATTCAATTAATTTGATGTTACTCAACATGAAAACCTAAGATCTTCATTGATCACACTGCTTCTTTCTCTGCAGGCACTCACTTGGAAAATTAAAAGTGGAAAGTTAAGTTTCATTCATGATTTTTCTTAAAGATACCAGAAAAATAATCAGATACTGTCATAAAATAGGAAGTCCAGGGGACCAAAGCTTTAACACAAGTATCTCTGAAGAGCTTTGTAGAAATTTAACACTCAGGCGATCTAGAAAAAGTATCTTTTATGCAATAAATCCAAGAGGAATACATTTAGGGAAACAGCAAGATCTCCAGACTATGTAATTACCTGAACAGTGAAATGTTACATTTTCCACTGCATTTTAAAAGAGGGAAGCTGCTCTTTAGTAAAATATCCACCAACAACTATTTCAAAAGAATTGATTTCTAGCAATGGTTTTACTGGAGTAGAGGGAGAAGCCAGTGGCCAAAAATAACATCTAGGGATAAGCTCAGTGTTCAATTACTTTTGCTTTCTCTGGGGTAGTAAAATTGGCTCATTCTTAACCATGTGCCAGTTTAAGAAACACTCTCTGTGGGGTTGCCCTCTTTAAACATTTCTTAGCTTGTTTAAAATTTTCCTGTATTACCAGCAGATTTCAAATTGCTGGCTATGTGCAAAATGGAAATTCACAGTATGACTTTTGCTTCTCAGTAAAGGAAAATTAACACTTTTATGTTCCCTTTCTGATGAAGTGGCAAATTAGGACGAAATCCACTTGAGATGTACTTTCCCCAAGGTATCCACTACCTGGTGGCCTCACTGCTTTGTGACTTAATGCCACATCTTTTAATTGAGCTTCAACTGTAGGACACATGCAGCAGCATAAAATACCTACTTCCTTTGCACTGTTAATAGGTGAAAGTCATATGGCAACAACTGAGAAGAGTTCAACAGCAGTTAAAAAACAGTGCTCTGTTCTCTAAACAGAGTTAGGACAGACCTCGGGACGTTCTAAAATTCAGGAATAATACCTCTTAAGGAGTTCACTTTGATAAAAAAGCCAATTCAACCAGCTGTTGCCCCACAGAACAGGCTCCAAATGTTCCAATAATGTTGCCATGAGAAGGTGTTAGAGAGAAGCCCCAAATCTTCACCTTCCTACAGGAGCTGACAGAGCCCAGGCTCAGAGCAGAAGACCTCCAAGGAGCAACGGTCCTCGAGTTATACAAGACACAAGTCAGAGTCTAGTCTAGACACATCATTGATGGTGCCCACCCACAGACATGGGCAGCAGCCTCTGTAACTTATAAAGTTCCTCCCACTTACAGGTAACTGGATAAGGGTGAGATGGGATCCAGGGGCAGCCTATCAGAGCTTCAATCTCAGGATCGGGAAGCAGAGTGAGAGTCAAATATTGAACAGCAGAAACAAACAGGTTCAGTGATACAGAGGGAGGTCAGAAGTAACTGATGACAGCATGGGATAAGCCAATATTATGAGTACACAAAGCTGAAGAAAGAAAAGGAGGGAGGAAAAAGCAATGACCAGAAAACCAGACGGTGACAATAACAGAAATGAAACAGAAGCAGAGAAAATTCAGGAGCAAGGGGGTAGCAGAGCAACATTAATGAGGGGATACCAGAAGATGCACATGGGGCAAAACAACTTGACTGGCAAAGTCCAGAATGAACTTCTGTTTCCAGACTCTGTGGTAGGGCCCTTCTACAAGTCCTATGACTCACTCCCTTAGTTGCTCTGCTCTTGAGCTAGACTCAGACTTTCTATTCCTCACACTTTAAGAAACCCAAATAGCCACAGTGACAAAGACATTTTTTCAGAATGGAAGCCTAATAAAGCTTGGGCCTTCTACTTGTGGGCAAAGACAGAACTGACCTCAGGCCCAATTCCAGCCAGTTCCTTCAGTAAGGCTCTTAAGCATAGGGGTAAATCTCATACTGAAAAATCAGGTAAGGAAGCAGAGGTATGCTTACTCATTTTGTAAATCATGGCTTCGAAGGTAGGAGAGGGTCATACTATCCCCTGGACCTAGAATGTTCTCTCCTACCCCAACCTTCTGATTCACCCCCACTTATGCACACTTTAGGACTCACTCAGGGATAGTGTCAATTCATTTCTGAAACTTTACATGACACTCAACTAAGTGAATTCCTCTATGTTCCACGGGTATCTGTGCAAACCTCAGACAGAATTTACAACACTGTTTGGCAACTATTTACATATCCATCCCTTGATCCTGCCACCACTTCCAGAGTGTCAGCTTTCTCAAAGCCCATCAAAATGTAACCTTTGCATTCCTGACAACTAGCAGGAATAGTGCATGCCTACTGAAAAAAATGAACTAATTCCTGTCATGATTTTAAGTGGATCTATTTTTATCTCATGTGCTTTTAGTTCCTCCTGTTCCAGGCTCCCTTTCCTACTTAAATTTCATGGACTGTAAAAACTGGAACTCTTAAGAGATCAAGAGGTTTCAAAGGTTCCAGAATTTTGTTGGGGACTTTGGAAGTGTTTTGAAAACAGTGGTAATGGCTGTTCGAATCTAATGCCAACAAACTCTACATTTAAACATAATTCAAAATGACATATTTTATGTTACATATATATTTTGCCACAATAATTTAAAAAAAAATAAAAATAGGTAGGGATGGAGAGGGAGAAAGGGGAGGGGAGAAGGAGAGAGACACGGAGATTACAAGCCCAGCCTGGCATCACTAACACACTGACACACCCATAGCTACAGTTTTTTTTTTTTTTTTCAAACTATGAAACCCTTTATTCAGGCAATTTTCCAGTATTCTATATAGAGTGAGATCCATGATGCTCCCAGGAGCAAGTCCAATGGGCCAATCACACACATGGGACATCAAAGAAATAGGGAAGTCAGCAAGGAGACAGAAACAAGAGGAGGTGGCCAACTCCCTCAGGTCCCTGCTGAATGTGGTTGCTTGGACCATAATTCAGAGCTGTCCTGGGATGCTAGGCTGAGGGCAGAGCATTTACTTGTTCTGGTAGGTGCTGATGGTCACATGAGTAGAGTGGGCCAGCCCTGAAGGAGTGTCCGCCTGATGAATAGTCCCTCTGGGGAAGTACAATAAATCACCTGGCTAAAGGAGAAAGAAAAGGTAGAGTTAACAAGAGCTATACTTCTCAGTCCTCTTTTTTTTTTGTTTTTGTTTTGATACTGGGATTTAGCCCAGGGGCACTTAACCCCTGAGCCATATCCCCAGTGCTTTTCTGTATTTTATTTAGAGACAGGGTCTTGCAGAGTTGCTTAGGGTCTCACTAAATTGCTGAGGCTGGCTTTGAACTCATGAGCTGCTGGGATTATAGGTGTGCACCATTGTGCCCAGATAGTCCTCTTTGTTTTAATGAGATAAATACAGGTATTGAGCTTCAGATCTCTACTCAAACCCAGTGCTTCATGGGACAATCTCCATCCAGCTTCACTGTGTCCATAAGCCTGTCGCTGTGAACCGCAATCCACCAGATACTTCCAGGCCTAGAGTCACTGTCTTTATACGCAAGCTGACATCAGATACACCTGAAACTACTCTGCCTGATTCTGGGTCCAGGAAGGTGTTCCTGGGGAGCATCTTCTCTCCCTCCTGGTTAAGAGTGAAGCTTGTCATACTGATGCTGCCATTTATGGACTGCTGACCAGGGCAATTCAGTTATCTTCCCTAAGCCTCAGTTTCTCTTTTACTAGAATGGGGTAACAGCCCCATATCCCATAGGGTTAGGGATATGCAGTTTTCAAAGATCCCAGGGCAAAGATGGGTATGTGCTATGTGCTTATATTATATATCTTGGCTGCCACACTACCACCCCAATAATTTTTTAGCTCATCCAGGAAGGGTCAATTACCCATTTTATATTCCCCGGAGCCCAACCTAGCAAAGCACCCAACACACAACATATGTTCAAAAAATGTTAGATAAATGAATGAAAAACTATATTACTCTTATTTGAACCTAAAAACTAGATATAACAAAAAAATTATCTTCTTGGGCAGATAAGCCTACTCCCTTTTACCCCTTTACTCTCTCCCAAATAAACAGATGAAAAAATTCTTCCCAAATTACTCCTGCCCTGAGCTACCTCCTCCCTAATCCCACTGAGACCAACATTCTGTAACTGCCTAAAAAGAGAAGGAATCTTGAGAGCCATTCATCTCCTCTCTGAAGTAAGAGAAGCAGTCTAGCTCAATAGTTAAGTAAAAGAGCCCTAGAGACAGAACTCAAGAAATACCACCTTTAAAAGAAATTTAAAGATTTCCCTCAAAGCAAAAGCAATATACATTTATTTATATTTTTGGCTGCTGATTTGCTTTAAATTTTACCAAACTGACAGTACTGCAGGTAAATAAATGCTTTACTGATACTTAAAAGAACCATTTAATGCATGTCTCTCTGCTAGTTCCTGTGTAGGTGAGAGCCTCACATACACATTTCATTCATTCCACAAACATTTGATCAATGCTTTCCGGCCCTCACTGGAAAAGGCAAGGAAGATCTCCCTGAGAGTTTCCCTCCAGAAGGAATGTGATTCTGCCAAAACAGTGGAGACCACTTTTGGACTCCTGGCCTCCAGAACTATAATAAATTTTTTGTTACTAAAATAATCATTACAGGCTGGGGTTGTGGCTCAACAGTAGAGCACTTGCCTAACACTTTCAAGACCCTGGGTTCGATCCTCAGCACCACATAAAAACAAATAAATAAAATAAAGGTATTGTATCCAACTACAACTAAAAACTACATTTTTTAAAAAAAAATCATTACACTAGTACATACTTTTATACCTCATCAAAGTAATTTCATTGTAAAGGGGGCATCAAAATAATATCCTTCAATTCTTATATCCTACAAGGTAAATATTATGATCTCTGTTTTAATGAAGAAGAACAGACTTAAGTAATTTGTCCAAGTACAGGAGCTAAGTGACAACATCTGAATTCAAACCAGCTCTGTCAGATCACCAAGCAGAGGGTTGTTATTTTTGCTATGGGGGCTGTCTTCACCCTAACACTCCTGGTTTGGCAGATATACTGCATTGGCTAGCACTGCAATAGTGGGAAAAAGGGTGACATGGGCTTCAGCACTCCCATAGTATCTTCCACACACTTCTCCCAACCAGAGTGACTCAGCTTTTGTTTCATATACTAGGCAATTTCATTTGAAGAGGTATACTGATTAAAATATACACACTTGAAAAGCAGTGTACCTCACAATGCTGTTTTTCTCCTTCCAGGAGACTCAGAGCTTCTGTTAATAAACAGTGTTCATTGAATGTTTAATGGACATCTGTTCCATCTCGTCCTCCAAGTCCCATGGCAAGAGTACAGAGAATTTACATCCTCCACACTTGAAGACCACTATGAAGCCTGACTTTCTTCAGCATGACAAATAGCCAGGCTGTCCACCTGAGCAACTCAGCCCTGGCCTCAAAAACCCCAGATGGCTTAGTCTCTAGCTTAAACACAATCAACCAAGGGTCTGGTAAATGTACAAGGGCAGGCATGGGCAAACTCTTCCTCTAAAGGGTCAAATATAATATTTTTGGCTTGAGGCCCTGTGTTCTCTATGGCAACTAGTAAACTATGTAATGCAAGCAGTCATAGACATACTTTAGGAATAGGTGTGGTTTTGTACCAATAAATTCTATTCATAACAACAGGCAGTAGGTCAGGTGTTTGACCCATGGACCATAGTTTAGAGACTGCTGACCAAAGGCATATAAAACCAAGGTTTCCTTTATTGTTGTTTATTTATTTAAGTACACTATAATTAGGCCCAATCCTAAAAAAGGAGATTGCTTTCCCCTAGTTCTTGGCAGATAAACAGGCAAAGATCTTAAAATCCAGAAACAGATATAGGCATTGACAAGAATTCTACACTAATTACAACATGAAAATGAAATAAGTACAAAAACAATAACTGTATGTAAATAATTCCATTGCAATATATTCTATTACAAGTATCTCTGGAATAGCTTGAATTAACCATTGTTTAATTGCCACTAAAGGAAATTAAAGCTGCATTAAAGTAGAGTATAAAGTTCAATTATGAAGCTTTTTTTATACTTTAAAGCCACCTGGCTCCCTGGAGGAAGAATCCTAAAGAGCTTTCATTAATTACTATTCTTTTATACTATACTATATGCAGGGAGAAAGGAGGAGTGCAGAAAATAGTCTGCTGCATAATCAGGAGGAATGTGGGTTATACTAGAGTTTTTGCAACCAAAAAATGAAGAGATTCCTGACCAGGCTTTGCCTAAGCAACCTACAACTCATGCCGCCCACTGTCTTAGATGTAGAAAAACTGCCCAAGGCCAAATCTTTCACTTTTTTTTTTTGGAGAAGTTCATGGTACACTGAATTAACTTTATTTCTGTTGAACTGGATCATATATGGTTATAGATTATTTGAGAAATTAATGTAATACTTCCTTAGCTCACTTCTCCAAATGCAAACCCCCAAGACTCCTTCAGAAGTCGCCTGTGCTGGCCAGTTACAAGGAGAGCCATCCTACCTCAGAGTTCCAAGAATACATTCCCACAGGGACGGTTACACAAACTCTAAACCTCAAACCTGAACTTGTCTTAGCAACAGAGACAGGCTAGCTTATAGAGGTGCCCATATGGTCACTCCATACCTTTAATGTGAACTCATGTGTTGGACTGCCAATCCTGGCCTCAGCCTCCACGCTGTACTCACGTGCCAGGGCCACTGTGGGTTTGTAAAGGCGCCAGTGCTTCTCTCCCTCCAGCTGCAGGATGAAAACCTATAAAAAGCCACAGACCTGGGAGGTCAGAGAGTTTCCTGACAATTCACGTGCAAAATCTTTCAGAATATTAGTTCTTTGAGGGGGTTTAGACAAATCCTAAGTTTCAAACAAAAATTAAAAATGAGAGAATCTGAAATGCATGTCACTCCACGCAATAAAAGTGGCCACTACTGGGTTTATTTTTTTAAAACAGGTAACCATGAATCCTGATACTGAACAGATACTCAATTTTTTTTTCACTTTGTTAGAGTATTGCCAAGCTCTTTATATTAACAATCTCACTCTTGAAATCATCTTACAGACCTCTGAAAGCCCATAATCTCAGTTGGGAAAGGCAAGTTTCAGCTATAATGGAATGCCTAAAGTCTTAAAATATTGAAAAGGGGCTCGGTAAAACAGGAAAACTTTTTAAGTTTTTATTTTTTTTATTCAGCCAAAGATACTTTAATGGTCTATTAAGAATAGAAATTAAAAACTCTTTTGGAAAACGTACTACCATCAACTTGGTCTCAGAAGGGGGAAAAAAAAGAACTTTTTACTAATATCTCTGTGTTCACATACCTCATATTTTTACAAAAATAAAAAGTCAGTTAAGTTTTTTGGAAACCATATGACAATGAAATCAACATCTGTTAAAGTGCCAGTGCTTAAATTAAATCATGACCTTCATTCAGGCTGTCCCAAGTTTTCTACGAATGGAAAAAACATATATATTTTTGGCACTTATTGGAAAAAAAAAGAAAATGAGAGCAGAAGCCGGGATTATGTGTGATCTCATTATATCAAAGATCATACCTTGTAAAATTAAAGGAAAAGCTAATGACTTTTCTATAGAGTTCAGTAAATTCCTGTTTCAAAGGAATGAATGTGATGTTCTTTTATTAGTAAGTTTGGAAACAATCTCTCCCTTTGAGAAGGAGCAGGAAATCAATTTGGAGAGATTTGTTTTGGCCCAACATTTAGATGAGTTCAAGATCTCCAGAGAGTGCACATAAAGAACAGCCACAGACTCGGTCTTGAAGTTTTAGAGTGTAACATGAAAAGAACCCCAAGGACTCCCAGAGCAACTTCATAACCATGCTCTCAATAACTCATTGTTCCCCACACTGGGCAATATGCTTCTTCTCTCACCTCAACATCATCATAGTGGGGAGGTAGGCCCTGTGATCCTCCAGGAGTTATATACACATTGGAGCCAACCAAAGAGCCAAAGTAGCATTCCAGCTTCTCCTGGATCCGCCAAAGCTCATCCTTTAAAGAAAAGGGGGGAGGGATAAAAATAAATTAGAAATAAAACAAATGTTTTTGTTCACTTAGGAAGCCTTCCTTTCACAATTATCATAGATCAGACAATTAATCAGTAAAGGGCCCTCAAGAATCTTCCCTTCTAGCACAGACACTACTGCAAAGAAATAAGCAAATGATAGACTGGCAAGGCAGCAACTGTGACTCATGAAGGATTTTGACATGAACATGAAATGAACCAATTAACATTTTTAAAAGCTCACTCTGGCTCCTGGGTGGAAAACGAATTGTACAAATTTAAGACACCAGTCTAGAAGCTACTGAGATAGCAGTCTAGGTAAAATATAAGCAGGATGGTGGAAGAGGGATATCAGAATTTGAAAAGCCCAGGGGTACTCTGGAAGTAGAACTGCTAGGACATGCTGATGGATAAAGGGGCATGGAAATGAAAGGAATTAAAAAAAAAAAAAAAAAAAAAAGACACCTGGGTTTCTGACTTGGGCAATTAGCTCCCAGTTCCATTGACTGAGACAAAAAAGGCTTGCTAAAAAATAAGTTTTCAAAAGGCGGGGGGGGGGGGACCACGAGCTTCACACAAGAAAGTTTAAATTTGGGATGCTAAGACCACTCCCCTCCCCACAATGTGGAAATGTTTTTAAGTAAGTTTGAAGTTTTAGCAGGAAGTATGGGCTAGAGATTGGGAACCACCTACACAAAATGGGTATTTAAAGTAATGGAAGCAGAAATGAAACCTAGGAAAAAGCTTATAGACAAATGAGTTAAGAACAAGGGTGAGCAATGTTCTCTCTCTAGTCACTAATCAATTGTTAGGTATAAGGCCCACTGAAGTGCCTAGACAGGAACTATATTTGTGTGTGTGTGTGTGAGAGAGAGAGAAAGAGAGAGAGAGAGAATGTGTCAGTTTTTCCCCAAGACAGGGCACAGCCTCAAAGTGCTTTTTTATTCATTCTACAGCCCTCACAACAACCCTGTCTCATAAGGTGGTTACTACCATTATCTCCAGTTTACAAATGAGAAAATTGAGGCACCAGAACACACAATTATTAAATGATGGAGTTAGGATTCAAATTTGGGCAAATCAGCTCCTGAGTCCATGCCTTTAAGATAACTGAAGAAAAGGTGACTCACACTAAAGAGACCAAAAGGGTTTTTTTTGTTTTGTTTTGTTTTATTTTGTTTTGAGTTGTAGATGGTCACAATGCTTTAATTTTATTTACGTATTTTTATGTGCTGCTGAGGATCAAACCTCACAAGTGCTAGGCAAACATGCTATGGCTGAGCTACAACCCCAGCTGTCAAGAGAGAGACCAAAGTTTTAAGCATATGAATGTTCAGTGCCTGGCTCATAGAAGACATTTCAACATTTTCAAATATTTGCTGAGCAAATCAATTATAACTTGAGAGTCAATTCTACCACTGGACTAAAAGAGATCTACAGTATTAAAATCACAAAGTGGGATAAAATGGGTCAACATAAAAATCAAAAGCTTTGGAAGATATCTTTATATGGACCACTGGGCTTCTTTATTTTAGATGTCGAATGTTCTCCTTGACACAGAAAAATGACTTAATGGACTCTGAATACCTCAGAAAATTTCAGAGCTCCCAAAGAACCTAATTTACTTCAGGAAAGAGACCAACAGGACCTGACTTTGTAATTATGTACAGTAAGTGGAACCACTAAGAAACCAGAGCTTTTCTTTTTCTCCCAATGTCCTTAGAGGTCTTTCAGGAAAAAATGGTTGACTGTTTCCCAGCCCAAGCATCATTCAAGATCATTCAAGGTGTGCAATTGATGTAAACATGTCTCTTCTTCTTAAAGGTTACTGAAAATGCTATCAGTTGTACAGTTTTTCTGTTTTTCTTAGACCTTTGGCTTCTGAATCTGCCAACTGTGATCTACTGAAAAGAGAGGAGTCCAACTGTAGTCACAAGCTAGGCAACAGATTTCTTTTTTCTTTTTTTAAGAGAGAGAGAGAGAAAGGAGAGAGAGTGAGGAGAGAGAATTTTTTAATATTTATTTTCAGTTTTCGGTGGACACAACATCTTTATTTTATTTTATGTGGTGCTGAGGATCAAACCCAGCACCCTGCCATTGCCAGGCGAGCACGTTACCACTTGAGCCACATCCCCAGCCCCGACAGATTTCTTTATAAAGCAAAGCTACTAACACCCCACCCCAATACTGGGGAGGAGCAAAACTCAACTTATCTCAAAACCTATTTAAACTGCAAAGCAGTATATAAGTATTACACTACAACACTAACTAGAGTACAAGGAAGGCCCCTGTCTCCTGTTACCACAAACTCCTACTGTGCACAAAGAGGCTGAGAACCAGAAAAATGAAAGACAAGGGTGGTGAAGATTTCTCTCCTGGTTGGGTACAACCTCCTCCACTGACCTTTCTCCAATTCCCAAATGTCAGTCTCCACAGAAACAAAATAGAATGCCATGGCTAAGACAAGAATTCCACTCATATACCTAAAGAAAGGCTTAATATTCAAAAGTTCTGCTACTTTCAATAATCATCTTTCAAAGTCTGATAGGAAAATGACTTAAATGTGGAGTCAAAAACACCAGACCAGTGTAGAATAGCTATGGGAAAGTATGCAGAATATTAAGATTAATAAGACTTAGACAGTCTGAGACTCAATGAACAATGGGCTAACTGTTCAGGCTGACACCCTCTTGACCTGACCAGAGTAAACCACCTCTGAACTTTCTTATTCTGATGTCACAGACTCATTCCTAAACACACACACACACACACACACACACACACACACACACACTCACCACTAATCTTCCTCATAAGACAGAATTTTGAACTCAGCTTCTATGTAAGAAGGTGAGTTCTTATAGCTTATAGGTCTCTCAGGTGCTGGTGGTGGAAAGAGGAAAAAAAAAATCCTAATCTAGCATGAGGGCTGAATTTTGGCTGAGGAAGGTCATCCTTTCTATAACTAAACCCAACCAAAGAGAAGAGTAAATAGTGCAAAGGAAACAGTTTCTTGGCCACTTGGAATCCTAGAAGGGTGCGCAAGGCTTAAATAAACAAACAGAGAAAAGCCCTGGGGGACATGGTTCTGAAATACAGAAATGGCAGCCATAGAGGATACCACATATGGGCCAAATAATAAATTTCTGGTTTATGACCAAATTATATGTAACAAATTTCATTGATTTATATTCTTAGTTCTTAGGTTTCTAAAAATTACTCAAAAAATGCTACTTCTGGGATGAGGTTGTAGCTCAGTGGTAGAGCACTTGTCTAGCATGTGTGAGGCACTGGGTGTGAGCCTCAGCACTACACGAAAATAAATAAATAAAATAAAGATATTGTATCCATCTACAGCTAAAAATACATTTTTAAAAATGCTACTTTTAGGGGCCGAGGCTGTGGCTTAGTGGTAGAGCACTCGCTTGGCACACGTGAGGCACTGGGTTTGATCCTCAGTACCACATAAAAATCAAATAAAGGTACTGTGCCACCTAAAACTAAAAAAAATATATTTTTAAAAAAATGGGGCTGGGGATATGGCTCAAGTGGTAGCATGCTTGCCTGGCATGCATGCGGCCCGGGTTCAATCCTCAGCACCACATACAAACAAAGATGTTGTGTCTGCCGATAACTGAAAAATAAATATTAGAAAAAAAGTTCTCTCTCTCTCTCTCTCTCTTAAAAAAAAGCTACTTCTAGTCCGGTAAAGAGTCAACTAGCTTAAAGAGAAGCATTTTATATATGGTCCATATTTTCTAAATTCAAATCATGAGTTGGTTTGGGAAATCATTTATAAATTCCTTCTGGGGGGTTAGTGCCAAAAGGCTGGCATTACAAGGATACTTCAACATTTTAAGATTGCCTGAGATGTAATAATTGGAATCAGGACTTGTCCTGAAAACACCTGAGTACTTATATTTCATCTAGAGTATAAATAGATTCAAGACCTTTAGACAAGAGAAGGAATGGCACTAACCAGTTGAAGCTTAATGGGATCTAACAAACCAACTTCTGAGTTAAATTGTAAGAAATATTATTGTAACTGATGACAGAGTCTTAGAAACCACCAATACAGGCAGAATCCTACTCTCCTCAATATGGAATCTCCTCAAACTCCACTTTCTTCTCCCATGCTGCCATTTTGAGTCTATCATTGGTTACAACAATGAGAATAATAGTATCTAAAACTCAGATGAGACCCTCAACAATTTGGAGCTGACACATAAAGATCTCTAAAAAAGCAGATTAGCTCATCCTAAATCTGCATTTAATGAGTACAGAGGTGGTGGCAAATTATTTCCCAAATGTCAGTCACGGATTACAGGATAATTTTAATCAAAGTTATCCTGCACTTATGACTGCCTCCCCAAGAAAAGTTTCAGGACCCCAACCTTTAATGTCATCAGTTCAACTGTCAATAGGAAGAGAGGTCACTTTCTTAGACATACATCTGGTATATGATCTGGTCCCAGCTCTGAAGCCTCTTCTTAGAAAGATGTAGGCAGTAAAGGGAGGCAATTTCAAAAAAAATATATCACCTTGATGCTATTATGCCTTAAATTATAGTAATAGGACAAACCAAACAGAAATCTCTACAATATACAAAATCATAAATCAGTCCATAGAACATGATCCTGAAGGTGTAATACTACTTTAACAACTTTATAAACTATCAATGTAATTTAGTTTTTGCAGCTCAAAGATACTCAACAATGTCCACCCTTAGCTACTGGAGTTCCTAATAATAGAGCCAAAAGATAATACAGACTCTCAGACTCTTTAAAGACCAACTAGGTGCTATGCCTTCCAAAAATGGCAGGAGGCTCACCATATTCACTTGTGAGCTGATGTATGGTCAAGTGTTAGCATTTGGGGCAAGTATGAAGACCTGTAATAGGGAAACTTGTTACCTTAAATCTCTGAGGTTGGTGAAATTGAATTGTTGCCCTTTTCTGATCAAAATCTTTTCTCAGCTGAAGGAAGTGTGCTTTTCCATCTTTATTTAAAACCTTCTTCTTCCCATGGACACACCGACAGACATTCACATCTCTTCCATAGTATATACCCTGGCTGCACAGACTCTTCAAATCTGTCAGCCTGAATAGGGACTGGTAGTATGCTGCCACTGCAGGGTCATCCCTCTGAATGAGAAGTGGCTTCTGCTCCCAGAACTCCTTGAAAAATGTCTCTATGTTGGTGGGTGAAATCAGACTTTCAAAGAGACCACTGGGGCTCTCAAAGTTTAAGGTGGAAGGTCCACCAGCTGCCTCCACTTTCACCTGCTTACAGGGAACAGGACTCTCTTCCTTCCCATTCCCTGCAGGCTTCACTTTCTTTGGCATTGTCTGTCTTCAAGCAAGAAGGGAATGCAAACCTATCCAAAGGAAAAAAAACATACATGGTTAGGTCTACTGGAAGTGCCATTGCTGGTGTTAGTGGCCTGAACACACAAACCATGGCTGAACACTATGCCTTTATGAGAACTATTCCCAAGTCAACACTGCTTCCTCTAGAAATGAGACAGGCTTAAGTCAATGCCATTTCTTCCAAGACATGATTCAGCTTCACACACTACTTAGATTACACATTCATTTAAAGGAAAACATGTTTTTGTGTATAAACTCAAGTCCTAGGATTCATTATTTATTAGGAGGTATAATTATCCCAAATTAAACCATTCAACTGTCTCAGCAATTCTTAGTCATAGGTTTAGCCTGTGGCCATTGATAGAGCAAAGCCAAAATTTTTGAATTCAGCTTCTATCAGCACAAGGCCCTGAATCTAATTAGATAAACTCTGAGTTACAAACATTTGATGGCAAACAATCAATAGCTGTTCACTGCCAGGTACTTTCAGCACCATGCTCAATTGTTATTCAGGTGGAAATCACAATGGCTTGGACCAGTGGTGTCACCTGGTGGCTGAAGTGAGATGCTGCTTGCTCCCAAGACTCCACCAACCTCCTGAAACTCTTCACTCCCAAATTTGAGCCTTTCTTGAAAACTCCCACTTTATCATCCCCCCACTCCATTAAAACAAAACAAAACACAACACAACAACAAAAAAAAAAACCCAAAGGGCTGAAAAGTGAAGGCCAAAAATAATTATATGCCAAGTTTTTTAAAACACTAACTTTTAAACAAACAATAAAACATCATAACTGAAATACCAAAATCATTAACTTCTAACACAGCACTCTCCGATTTCAATGTGCACAGATCATCAGGGCATCTTACTAAGACGCCAGGTGGAATTTTCCACTTGTGATATCATTCTGGCACTCACAACGTTTTGGATTTTGGAGCATTTCAGACTTTGGGATTAGTAACACTCAACCTGTACTCACCCTACCCCAAGAAAGGGGTTGTTTTTCACCAGATTCTTAGAAGTCCTTTCTGTTTGGGGAGGAAAACAAACAAAAACAAAAAGTTAAGAAGCACTTGTGTTTATAAATGCCAATTTTTCCCCAAGACCAGTAATTTATAAGTGTTATGGTTTCCTATTTTGTTGAATTATCAGAATTACAGGAATGTTGTTTTCTCTTCTCTTCATTGTAACTAAGAAGTATTTCAGTTACACAACAGACTAAGTAGAATTAGTATTCTGGCCTGAGAAGTAAACACTCTAGAATAATTTGTTATGTACTGCAACTAATTTACCAAAGAATTTTAAAAATGCAACCCAGATGTAAACTGAACAAATGAGGATATGGGAAAGTCAAAATACAAAAGTCTATAATTGGCCTCATTTTAGCACCTAAATTTCAAACCAATGAACAGCTCAGTTCTTTCAAAAGACATTCATGATCATGGTGGAAAACTAATACAAATTGATACTAAAAACCTACAGTAGAGGGGTAAGAGCTTAATTAAGCTTGGAAAAAATAAACTAGTATTTTAGGATATATGGCCAATGAGATATATTTTCTGAAAATGTTTCCTATACCTTTTAAATCAAATGGACAAACCAAAGAATCAAGGCTTTACTGAGAAAAAACATTGGCAGTACTTAGAATTCTCAAGTGATGTACAGGAGATATGAAAAGAGAGTCAATAAAGACTATTTGTACAAAATAGAGTCACCGTAGCTTGACTGACTGCAACCCTTTGAGAGGTTAGCTTGTGCATGATATCTCAGAACTTAAGATTTAGGGAGGTTCCCAACACCATTAATTAATGAGTGGCTCACGATGCCTGAAGTGTAAAACAATACAGTTTATACTGAATACCTGCTTGCCTTCTCTGGGTCTAGACATTTGGTATGTGCCAGGAAGACAGATCCTATGTGACTAGTCCCAGTAACAACCCTGAGCACTGAGTCTCTAATGAGCTTCCCTGGTTGGCAACATCTCACACCTGGTGACAAAATTAGGGCCCAGAGCAATTAAGCACTCCACAAAAAGAAACTTGGAATCTTGTACCTGGTCACCACAGGACTTTATTTCCATATGCCTTTTCCCCTTTACTAATGTGCTTAGTATGTTTTTGCTGTAATGAATCAGCACGTTCTCGCAAAAAAATCACAGAACCTACAAATGGTCTTTGGGATCCCAATATATTGCTCAAATCTAAATTTTAAAACTAAATGTTAGAGTGGTTTATTAGGTTTGTTTCACTAAAGGTACCCTACAATTTTATATTCAGTCACAGATTTCTTATTACTCAGAATTAGTCTCTTTGATATTTAAAGGAATAAGCAGGAAGATGCTAGTGAAAGGCTTGTTTTCCTTAAACATAAAATATGAATACAGTATAAGCACACCTATCAGAAAGTGTGGCTAAATAAAATGCACAAAATACTTAAACCAAAATAAAATCACGTAATTTTCTCCACTTACAAGCATAAAATTAAATTGTAATACTGTAAAATATATGTTTTTGTTAGAATATAAATTTCACTATTTATGTTGCCAAAAGTTACATTTATTATTTCTCTGTGTACATGCTGAAATGATTGGGGGCTTAGTTACTTGGAACCTAGCTTAGATGTTACTAGGCAAATGTAGTATTCGATGCTCACACTACTCATGCTGTAAGACAACCATTCCTTTTAACAGCTTTCAGAGGGTGGAAGGGAGAATAGATGACACACCCTATTCCATTAAACACAAAAAAAGTCCTAAGATGCATCCAATTTCAGTCGAGGTAAAAAGTAAAAAAAAAAAAAAAAAGAAGAAGGGGGGGAGGATGGGGTTGTAGCTCAGTGATAAGAGTGCTCGCCTCACATGTGGAAGGCACTGGGTTTGATCCTCAGCTCCACATTTAAAATAAATAAATAAATAAAGGTATTCTGTCCATCTACAACTAAAAAAGATATTTTTTTAAAAAGCAAAAAAAAAAAGACTTCAAATCCAAGAAATATAGACAAAAGAATGCTTTGTCTACAAAAGTTCAGCCAATACAATTCTGCCTATAACCTCACAGACCACCCAGAAAGAAGTTAGAATATTACAGGAAAAAAAAAAAAGTTTTTTAAAAATAATTGTTTTCAATGAGTTGACTATAAGCATTAAAAGGTAAAAAGAGTAAGTAAAAAGATTCACAGTTCATACTTTAAGTGCCCTGCAGATAAACTGTACAAGAAAATCAATACTGATGCTCATACTATAGCCAAAAAAGATATTTATATTTTGAAAGTGTCCTACCTTTTCCAAAGTAATATGAATGACAAGAAGTCATAACAGCTTCTTGAAGGGATAGCTGTCTGTCCATTCTGGAACTTAGCAGAGCATATAGCACATAGGAGATTCTCAAGAAATGCTTGCTAAATTAACTTTCACTTTTTCATCTTTAATCTATATACAGTTTTAGAGAAAAAAAAAAACCTGCAAGGCCTTACAAAAACCAGAGCTGGAGAAAACAGAGACCTCCTGCAGTATGACTGCCACTTTGAAGGCAGCTGTGGCTTTGGTATTCAACAGTATTCCAAGGGCTAACTGGCAAATAGATACCAGTAATTATAACCAACCCAAGGAGGGAAGTGTGACTGGGTTTAACCTGGGCACAGCTAGTAGTCCCTGGGCACAAACAGTTTTGTTAACACGCAAATTTCTGGACCTGCAACAAACCTACTGGATGGCCAATTCTGATGACCAGGGCCCAGAAATCTACATCAACATTATTAAATTCTCCAGGCAAATTATAGATCCAGTAATATAGAAGACCATAGTTGAACTCAGCTCAATAAAACACGCACGCCTGATAAAAATAATATATTGCCTGTAACAAGGTCGCCCAGGCTAACCTAAATGATTTCTTTTCCGCATAAAGAATTATCATTAATGCAAAGAAGTTCTCCTATTGACCTTGAGTTGTGACTGGCATTTATGTTTTTAGTTTTATTTTAGAAGGAAAATGAATTGTACCTCATTAATGTATTTTGGTGACCATGAGGTCACAAAGGAAGAGAAGGGAGTCAGACCCATCCACTTGATGGTGTAAAAGCTGGGTAGATCAGGCTCTTCCACTTAAAAGATGAGACCATTGAAAGAAACTCCTGATGGTGACACACAACTAATTAGTGGTGAAATCAGAGTCTCCAGAGGCCCAGGCCTGCACTTCCAAGAAACACAGTGAGAAACTTGGTCTTTTTAACCTGTTGGACAACCCAAGCATTCAGCAGCCAATTATTGACAAGTGAATGAACTGGAAGCAAAGGCTGCTAAAGTCAGGAGTGGGGTGAGGGACAGCCTCAGCTCCCGCCTCCGCAGGCAGGAGCTCTCCTCAGCGTGTGTCTCTTAGGCCCGACCTGTCGCCCAGGCCCTGGCAACCCACGTGGCGGCCTCGCTCCTACCCTCCCTGCCAAGCCTACAAACTTTCCGCGTTCCTCCCGGGTCTCCGGACCCCGGGCCGAGCACGTGAGCTTGTCCAAGTGTTACAGACACTGGCGACTGCACCCCAGAGCTCCGGGCCCCTCTGGTCCCGGCGTGTCCACAGGGCCCGGAGCTCCGGGGCCCAGAGCGGTTCAGACGCGTCCCCGGCCCCCGCAGCCACCAGCGCCACAGAGCTCTCGGGCCCAGCCCCGAGGTCCCACAGACCCAGCCGGGAGCAGAGGAGCGCGCGCCTGGAGGAACCCGCCCTCCCGCCGTCATCGCCCCACTCACCCCGCACGGCCTGTTGCGCGCGGCCGCGAACTGGCTGGGCGGGGCGGCGTGGGCACGTCCGGGGCGGGGCGCTCCTGCTCAGGCGCCCGCCTCCTGGGCGAGCCCGGCTGCTGGCGGAGGGTGCTCCTGGGGAAGGCGGCAAAGCAGCCATGGGAGAACCAGTGTGTGAAAGCCCTTTTTATGATTGATACACATAAATCACAAAGTTGAGGGGAGAGAGGCCCATGCATGAACTTAGCTAATGCTAATGCTGAGTTTGCACCAGATGTACTGTGATCCTCCTATTGGCCTCTGAGCATCTGTGCACCAATTTCCACAGGATATTGGGAGAAAAATCAGTCCTACTGGAATCATTCATTCTATAAACTTCAAAGGACTTTTAAAATAATTATTTGTATTTTTGTCTCAAAACTTTATAGTACTACTATATGGTAAAACTGTGGGAAGCACACACATTGTTTTAAATGGTGTGAATGCCTTCTGTTGTATATTTATATTCACTTTGGTCCGTAAAAGACCTAGGCAGTGTTTTTATTTTTCTTTAAATTTGACTCTAATATTTAAACCATTACTGGCCTAACTTCTAATATAAGAAAACTGAGGCATAATGAGATTATGTAACTTGCTCACAATTATACAACCGTTGAATAGCATAACTGGGACTTAAACACCCTCCCCTTCCCCATCATTTTTGTTTGGGTTGCTGATTTTGTTTGAGTAGCTTATTTCTCACGGTTCTGAGGGATGCAGATTCCAAGGTTCAAGGCACTGGCTAATTCTGGAATTCGGTGTATCTGAATCCTGTTTCACAGATGAGGCCTCCTAGGTGCATCCTCCTGTGATAGAAGGGGCAAGGTAGCTCTTTGGGGCCTTTTAACCTAAATCAGGAGGGCTCCACCCTCGTGACATAATCTTTTCCCAAAATGCCCCTCCTACTTACATTGTTCATTCAGTTTGAACATGTGAATAGATTTTGGGGGGGCAAACATTCATACCATAACACTCATGCTGCTTACCAGTATTCTCTTCTGACCTCTGTTTTTCATCTGTAAAAGTGATTAATTTTGTCCTTATAAAGCTGCCGTTAGTGTCAGGTGAGAGAGGGTAAGCAAGAGTCTTAAAACTGTAAAATGAATCCACTTGAGAGGCGTTTGTTACAGCCCATTCAGCATCTTGAACATGGTTCTATAGAATGAATTAAGTGCAATTGAGTCTGTGACACATGTTTGCTTCACTTCATTTACAAAACTCATCAAGCAAGGCAGCTTTAAATGAATGTAGTCAACCATGGGATAATCTTGGGGTTTTAGTAACTTCAGAAAAGCCACTTTTAAGAATGATCTAGTCAAGGTCTTCCAAGATTATACTTGTGATACATCTGGGACTCAATATATTTGATTTGATTAAAGCATACTATCACTGTTTGGAGTACCCAGTGTTTACAAAAGTGAATTGAGTTAATATTGTCATTTTCTTGCTTACAGTCTTAATTTCTTGTAGAGCCTGTGTCTATGGAAAAGTCAATGAATGTTAGGTTGCATGACATTTCTTTATTAAGTGATACTTCAGATCTTCTTTTTCCAACAACCCAGAACTAGTGAGTGAAAGTATGCATTAGGATTTCCAATGACTATTCCTTACAGAGATGTTTTGTAACTTAACATGTCACCAAAAAAAAAAAAAAAAAAAAAAAAAACAACGCTGAAAAAGATGTGTGTTCATGACTGTTATAAGAATAAGATATATTTGGGGGTTGCTTTCTTGAAGAGTAAACAAGCTCTTATTGAAAAATGTTTCTTGGGAGACTAGCAAAATGTGTAGATGGATGAGAGAAACAAACATCATGATTGTAAGCAAAATAACCAACACAATTTCAGCACCATTATGGAAGCACAATAACCAGGATGGAAGCAGACCTCAAACGGATCAACAAGCTTTCCTTAATTCTGCAGTGGAGTCAATGATCAGGTACTGGAGGGACTCATTTTCTGGGTAGAAAAATGGTCCCCGGTTACTGGAGTTTGAGTTTTATAGTTTACAATGTGGGTGGCTTAATTATTAGAGACTGAAGCAGGATGTATTAGTTTGGACAGTCGGGAAAGAAATTGTAAAAAGCCCTAAACTCATTATCACTAGGAAAAGCTCAGAATTCAGTGTTCACTGCTCATCCTCTTTCTCCGGAATTCATTGTTTCCCAGACCTTCACTATTTGCTTTTCTCCTCATTGGCAAGGTGAAAGGGTAAAAGTCCAGGACCCAGAATTTCAGTATTGGCCTCCTCCCTTCAGGACCCATTGTTGTTGGGAAGGAATGAAAGTTTGCCTTTTTTCCCCTTAGGGCCCATTAATCCTAGGAGAGGATTAATGATTGTCTTCCTTCTCCCTCTTCCTCCAGGTCAGTTTTGAGGTGAGGGTGTCATTTCCCTTTTTAGAGATTGTCATTTTCCATACCCTTCAACTAATGATAGATTAGTTGACTTATTTTCCTTTAGAATTTTATCTTAATGAACCAAAAATGACCAACTAATCAATCTCCAAATTGATAACACTTATGAACTGTTAGATCTATCAATAATTTCATTTCAAGTGTTAAAGAAGTGAAAAATATACCTTAATTATGGCTTCTGAATATAGAAGAAAAACAATCCTGAAAAAAATTGTATGATCACATTATCCATGAAAAATTGATGCATAAACTTGAATGAGATAACTTGTTGAAGAGTATGCCAATTGAGATGTTTGCTTGAAAATGTCTGTTGAAGCCTCAAAACTGAAGACAGTAATATTTAATATTAAAATATAATAAATTATTTCCCAGGTCTTTTAAAAACATCTTGTATTCAAAGATTAATCCACACAAAAGCCTGTGCAAAGGATTTATAAGTATATTTTTTCTGCATTTGAGGAATTGGAGACACCAAGACACTCAGTACTGTCAACCAAAAGTCACAGACATGGGGGTAGAACAACAAACTTAATCCAGGCAGCCTGGCTTTGAAGCAGGGTTTTTGTCTTTTGGTTTCCCTACCCCCTCAATGCTGGGGCTCAGATTGAAAGCCTTGTGCACTTGCATGCTAGGTGAGTACTCCTCTGCTGAGCACACATCTTGAGCCCTTGAGAGATTACCCTCACAAACTGCATTCAGAGGAGAAATGCAGAAAGCAGCAGGCTGTTCTAACATGGATATTATCGAAGATCCTTGAGTGTGGGAAATAGTTGGGCTTGGACCATTAAGAAATTACCTGACCAAAGAGAATGGTATAGCAGGTGAATAAAGCCAAGCTTTAGGAGGCCATGGCCTGGACAGGAAAGGAGAAATGGGGTCACACAAGATCAATCAGAGATTCCAAGGTTAATTTTAATGAACCCATGTAGACTTCCAAAAGAATTTTCACCTGCATCAGGGTCATCAGGGCCAACAAAATTTGTGGGATCCTGTGCAAAGTGATAATATGGAGAATATGGATCTTATTGCATTTTTTAGTTTTTTAGTTCTCGGCGGACACAACATCTTTGTTGGTATGTGGTGCTGGGGATCGAACCCGGGCCGCACGCATGCCAGGCGAGCTATTGCATTTTTTTATACTAAATATAACCTATTCTTTTGTGGTGGTGTTTTTTATTGCTATTAAATGTCATACTCTATTCCTCATGTTCTAAAGGTGAGTGCAGACATCTACAGGCCCCCAGGGCCTTGCAGTGCCACTTGGTGCATAGTGCTCTGCTGAGAGCCATAGCCAAGTAGGAATGAAGCTTGGCATTTTTGGTTGAAAGGTGACCGCCAGGGGAAGTGCGGTAGGAGGGAATTCCAGAGGAGAGATTTCCAATTGCTGTAGTGTGTCCCGGGAGAAGGCCATGTGCATGGCATTCGCGGGAGTTTTGGAAATAAAGTTTGTTCTTGCTTGAGTGGCTCCTGATTTTGTGTCCAGCCAGACTGCAGCAGTGCTCCTGAACTATTGACCCAGTGCGCTATGGAAATGCCCTGCTGCTGACCACCGACACTATACTGCTGTGTACTTTCCAGGGATGGGAAAATTAGTCTTCTTGACCAACTAGCCACATACCAACCCACAGCAAATGCGTCAAGAGATGGCAACCTCCTAGTCAGGGTAAACAAATTACCTGAGTATAGGGTAAGAAAGAGTTTGCTCCAGTAGGTCTCTCTCCCAAAACACTTTGGTGCTGCCAGCCCAGGAGGGAGTTGGCCACTACTATGACCAGCCCCAGGAGTGATATGTGTACAATCTTAACCCTCCCTACATCTATGCCCTGGTCCCACCAGACACAGAGGGCAGCAGTGGCATTGGGTAAATGTATGATAGGGGCAGGCAATGAAGCAAAAACTGGAACAACCCTATAGTGGAACTGTAGGTAGAAGTGCATGTGCCATGCCCTGTACATACTCCCTGTTCATTCACTTACAAAACAAACTCAAAGATTAAGAATTTCAGGATGGTGGCTGCAGAGCATTAAACCCCAAAAGTTGGATCCTATGTCACTACACTTGTTGTTGCATGCTGGTGAAACTTTCCCTGTCTGCCACTCAAAGGGCATTAGCAAACTGGGAGCTAAAATACTGAAGAAAAAAAAAAAAAA